TAAAGATAATTTTAAGCGTGAAAACTGTCCATATTTTGATGTCATGATATGTAAATTAAAAATTGTTATTTTACGGTGATAATCTTGTTTTTTTGTGCCCAATAATGCATAATTTCATTTGATAAACACGTTTAGATTGAATGGTAATTTATAATCAGTCACAAGAACGTCGAATCTGAATCACTTGAAAAAAACACAGGGGTGCTTAACTTTTTTCCAGGTGTATATATATATACATGTCTATTTCATTGTCCATTTCAGACTGCACCTTTCATGGAGTAGCATGGAAAAAGTCAGCACTGTGGAAGTGTCTTCCCACTTCCCTGGCATTCCGACTTTTCAAATTTGGTTTCTTGGTAACCCATTGCACTTTCTCCAGTAAAATATGTTTGCAGTGGTTAGATCTGATCAGATCAGGGTACCTGTCCTTTGTGAATCCCCTCAGTTCTCGAGTGGAGCACAGGAGGCCCTTGCCACTACCAGTTGCTTTCATACTTCCATCCAGGCAAATAGTATACCCTGCATGAGATGTATGTGGTCTCCCACAAGTGTTACTCCTCTAGTTAAGCCCCCACTTATATGGTGTCACACTTCATAGACTTTCCTCTTTGATCTTCTTTTCTGAAAGGAGCTCATCTTGGTTTTCACAAATGCACTGGCCCCTCTATTGCATCATTGTGGGATTCTAGCTACAGTGTACAAAGTGGTAAGTCTACTGTTTCGAAAGTTAATATTTTCCTTACCAGCACACATTAATTTTGCCTCATCTTAGAATGAAGTTAAGTTTGAGTGTAAATGCTTATGGGGATCTACTGTGCATGGAGGGTGCTATTGGTGAAGGGCTGTTGTTACCTGATTATTACAATTCACTTTATAACATGTGTCTTGGGTGAGAAAGAGCTCAAGGCTAGTGGCATGCTTAAAATCTCAAAGGTACAAATGCTTCTGTGTGCAGAAAGGTAAGTATCTATCAGAAATACATTTTCAGGTAAGAAAAATGTTAACATTCATAAAGCTTGTTTTCTTTATAACAGTTTCACTAATCAAGAAAAAAAAAATAGCTAAGGAAAGAGAATGAGTCTCTCTTTTAAATTGTTATATTTAAAGTTCTATATTGGTACGCTGTAACCAACCTTTACATCTAGAAAACATGTCTCAAAGACTCCCTACTATACAAAGTGGCACTTAAAATGGGAAAAATAGGAGTCTTTTCTTTTAGTATTTAGTTTACACTTGAAAATTTGTTAATATATAACATGAGTTCATACATAGACAGTTACACAAACAGACATATTATTAAGACTGTTCCATTGAAAATTAAAAATAATAAACAAAGAATACTTAAGGAGATATTTTCTAGTGCATTCAGTGCTTTCTTGTCCAAATTAAAATAAATAAATAAACATCATTTTTTACTGCACATGCATAGCAAAAGCCAATTTCTATCCATATCAATATAGGAATATTAAGTCTTACAAAATCTTGATAACTTCCATGCTTTCAACATATTATTCTGTAAAATGTTATTTTTAAAATCAAATCTGACATAGAAGAATGCCTTAAAAACAAGTCTACATTTTTTACTATTAAACATTGTAACTTATCTTTAAGTTCTTATTTTTCAATCTTTGTTAGTTTTAAGTTATCGTCCTTAAACATTTGTATCAATTGTAGTTGTTCTCTTTGCCAAATAAATAGGTTTAATATTTTTACTTCATAGCTCAGGCTTCTTCAACCAGATATTTTTCAGATAACGTTGTTGGAATTTTACAGCAGGTTAAGATTCCTTGTAATATCAAATGTGGTATAATACAATATAAGAAACAAATATTTTTCATGCAAGGCATTATAAACTGTCAGTTATGATATTTATATTAAGTTTATTAAATTCCTTTCAAGTTATTTCAATCTTCTATTCAAGATCAAATCAGAATTTATCTGTCTAATATATTTACTTTACACAAAACTCTATCTAAACTCTAGTAGATATTAGATATTGTTGGAAAAGTATGTGCAGTACTTTTGAAAATTAGTTCAGAATGGTTTAAAGAGATTTTAAACCAAACTAAATATGAATACTGTAGTATAAAGTGACCTGATTATGAAGGTTGAAATTAATGTTTTGGGGATTTCTTTATTGTTAGGACGAATATGAGAATTGGGCATCACAGGTGAACCAAGATTTGATGGATGCTGAAAACTTTGAACTGGTTTGTGAATGAAAAAAAAAAAGTTGAACTTTTTAAATAACTAACTTCTGAATTGTATTTGGATTCTTGTGTATTTCAACTTTTAAGACTTTTTTTCAGTTTTAATATTTTATTTAACAATGTGTTTAAGAAACAAAATTACAATAGGTTTCATTTACCTGTACATGTAAATTAATTTTTATTAGATCAAAAGTAGACTTGAATGCATGCAAGATTTGTATCAGAATTCAAGAAAATGAGTAAATACTTATAGAAGGTAGACCTTCCTTAAAATATTTGGGTTTCATGATCTAACTTTCTGATCTTATGTATTCTTAAGTATTGCAAATGAAGTAGAAATATTTGCCATAAGAAAGCTTGCTTCACATCAATCCATAGAACTGTATATTTAGTTTCATTGTATGTTCCTGTATTTTTATTAAATACTATGTTTCATTGCAAAGCCTGTGTTGAAGAAAAGAAGTATACAATATTGACTGCTTTTACCCTTCATAAACTGTGAACAAGGGTTCTTTATAGCTTATTATACATAACCGTATATCTAAGTTGCCATTGGAATTATAGGTGTATAGTAATCTACCAGAGCCTATTTTACCCAGAGGCTCAGATTTTTCAGCAGAATGTTTTTATTCTTGTCTGTAAGAAAAGTAAATTTTACTATTTAGTTGATTTCAGTATATATAAAAAAAAAGAATGGTACGAAAACTGCATTTTCCTTGATGTTATTCCTGTTTTGTTTATTTCAGCTTTATTGCATTTATTGGGATAGTTTTTATGGATATATAAATATTAATTTTTTTATCTTATCATTGTGTGTTTTCAAAAGAAATGACTACATTATGAACAAGATTTGTATAAAGATTTGACCATCTGATTCTTATTTAGATTGTAAACTCAATAAAAATTAATAATAAATTTTATAATTTCGGGTTTGTATGTACAAACATATAACAGACTTTGAAACTTCATAACAAATGTGATCATAAAAAATGGATTTATTGTGTAGAGAATAAAACACCAAATAATTTGGGCAACCAAAAAAAAAAAATTTGACTTAGTTCTACTAGATTTCTGGATGGCAAATAATATAATTTTAATGACACCAAACAATAAAGCTTAGAAGAAGTTAACTACCATATTTTCAGCATCACAAATAAATAAATCTTGCATGCTCTTCTGACATGAAAAATATCTTTAGCATATAAATTTGAAAACGTTTTTCACAATTTACCACAATTGTTTTAAACACCCAAAATGTTAGTCCGGATGTTGTATGAAAGCAATATACTTAATTAACATCTGTCAACAGTAGATTAAAGAATAGAATTATATATATATATATATAGCCTCTTTATCATACCTCTGTCTTTTCATCATTATCCAGAATTTTGAAAATGTATGGTTTATTTCCTGCATACATATTTATTACATAAGGTCAAATGTTAAAACTAGATGACAGTCAGTTTCATCTACAGTGAAGAAGAAACATAAATAGATTATCTCATGTTAATTTAAACACTTTTGTTTTAATCTCTTACAAATACACTAAAAATATGAGTTGTAAATTTATATTTCACAAAACATATAAAGTTTTGAATGCCAAATATGACATTAAGATTATTTTATCAAATCAACTGACACTTGATAGCAAAGAATCAGGTTTGATCTCTGCATATGTTTTATGATTAAAACTACAACTGTAAAGTAAATATTGTTACACCTCAAATATCTTGTTGGTAAAGGATTAACTGAGAAACAAGTGTATTTGGGTATTCCCAAGCAGGATGTTAAGAGTTTATCACAGAGGCTTATTTTTAATGTGAGGAGACAGAAAAATGAAAAATTTTGTATGAATAAAAAATTCAAAAATTGCTCAGTTATTAAGGATAGTAGTAAGTAAAATACACTACAATACAGAAGCTTCTGGAAGATTTGAATATATGGAATTAGGATACAAAAGATTACATCTAGAGAAGATAAGCAAAATAAAATTTCAGTTACAGAAGAAACTTTATGGCTGTAAACAACTTGTAACAAATATTCAGAACTGTTTGTAACATATTCAAGGTCCTAAGTTTGGATAAGCAACGTTTAAGAAAGATTTGTTGCAGAATTTGTTATGGAGAAAAGTTAAGGAAAACAATCACTGAGGCCATTTTCTCCTAAACTGCTTCAAAGTTTTTGAGAAATAAGACAAAGAAATATGCATTTGAAAGGTCAATTCTTCTCACTAGAATGAATAACTGTAGGTACTGTGTCAAAGAGACACCAGTTTTGGAGGGTTCTTGCTGTCTGGACTGGACAATTCAAGGTACTGTGTCACAGAGACACCAGTTTTGGAGGGTTCTTGCTGTCTGGACTGGACAATTCACTACCTGAGTTCCTCTGTTGTCCTGAACATGAAATCACAGCTGTAGCTCCAGAGGATACAGGTGTCAGTCCGGTTCCACCTTCCATTAGAGAATCCATGTTGAACATTCCCATGGTTGAAAGATCTGAAGAGCACAGATATGTAGATGAGATTGGAAGAGATGTTGGCCTAGAAACTGGCTTTGATCTGATAGAGATTCCATCACAGTATGAATGGTTAGGCCCATTCCTTAACACTAGACTATCTGATGACCCTTTTCCATTCTCAATAGCTCTGTGTGTGGTGACCAGCTTGCATGTGGCTTTATGGGCTGTCAGTAGAAAATCAAGTTCCTCCTTCTGAGACTTGAGTATTTGAAGTTCATTTTGTAAAGCCAGACGCTTAGTTTCTAGAAACTCAGTCTCCTGCGAATATAAATAATAATACAAATATGTACAAGTTATATTAAAACGATTCCAGATAAAACTGGAGAGAATATTAGGTTTTTCATCAAGGTCTTGAGTTCAAAACGGTTTTACTTATTCAAGTAGAAATCTGGGTAAAGGGTAGCTGCTAAACATGGTCAATACATAATGTCATTATTTTCTACACAATTGTCCTTGTGAACACTCGCAAAAAACAAAACATTTCAATCACTTTTAAAATGTCAGTAAGAAACGTTTCAAGACAGAGTTTCAAACCTAATTTTGTGTGGTATTCCCTGGGCACTTTGTTTTGAATTGAAAAACTATATATTTAGAATAAACCACGTTAAATTAATAAATGGTCTTCAAATTGAACTATGTTGTACATAAAAAGTATTTGTTAATTTAAGGAGATTATTGCTATACAAATAAATAGTTTTCTGTGTTTACATAAAAATATAACGCGGGTTTTCGTTCCAAACTGAAATGTCGGGTCTACCTTTGTTATTGAGTCAGAATGAGAAAACCACAGACACAAAATCATTTTGGTTCCATGGCGCCTGTTCCAAACAGATGTGACTGACCATATTATATATGCATTTTACAATCAGTCAATTTAAAAGTATATATTACAGTTACGTGGATAACAAGGGTAGGAAACAGCATTATAGTTGACAGCAATAAAAATAACGCAAACCAGTTATATGAGGTTCTTTAAAATATAATTTTGGAACTTCCACAATTTAATAATTTGCTAAGAAACTACAGGCAGGAAACTTTGGCCACGTGCCTTCAACGGTTGTGGTTGGTTGATTCAAACAAAATGTGGCGTCAGAAGGCAAGAACAACTCACGAAGTGAGTAATTGTGGTATTCTCAGACCGGCTTGGATATAAAAAAAATAGAAAAGGAAGCATTCATTTTCCAGAAGAAAACGGTTTTGTAAGCTTACATCAATTATCCACACACACACAAAAAAAAGAAACATTTACTCTAACTGAGTTTGTTCTTTTTTTGGGGGGGGATGTACTCAGGGGCGTAGCAACTGCCCCCACAGTACAGGGAGGCCCGTACATTCTGCCCTGCGCCTCTGGATGTACTTAATGCATCAAAATGTTTATTTGTTTAAATCAAAAACCTAATAATTTATTTTATGAAGCTAGCATATGATGAAATATTTTCTTACTGAAATTATCACAGATAGTACATTATCTAACTTATTATTATTAAAATAGTACCTCGAATGACCTTTAAATAAACACGCAGTCTCTTTTTTTTATCTTTAGACCTAACAAAACCACGCGAAATTTTATATATGGGCGTGAATTTCTGAATAGGCTTGCCAAATGTAGCACAAAAATACAGACCTTGATTTAAACATGTAAAATGAGCTTTGTGTAATCCACTGACATTTTGGCGAACCAGTTACGAAGTAGATTTCGCTGTTTTGATTCTCATCAAAGGAAAACTTCCAGCCGTTTATAAGACACTTAGTTTAAACTTATTTTATTATAATTTACAGCTTTTATAGTAAGTAAGATTTGTTTTTTGAAAAGGTACAGCGGTAAGTTTTACAGACTTACAACGCTAAAATCCGGCGTTCGATTCCCTCGGTGGACACAGCAGATTGCAAAATGTGGCTTTGGTTTAAGATAACCAACCAATCGATCACTGGTGCGATCATTCTCAAATACACAAGTTTTAACGGTAAAGAACGTTTTAGTATTTAAATTCTACAATTGATAGTGGTTATTTATACTTGTACATATCAATCCACGTGAATTTTACAGATTATTTATCTATGGCTGAACAAACAAAATATGAATAAATATAAAACTATGGGATATTTTAAGCAAAATATTTGCATAAGATTAGAAATTTGTGTGGGCAATAACGATCAAAGACATATGGTGCCTGGGTATCTGTTTATTCTGGGATTGTTTGATTTTATTATAATAAAGCTTCTAAAAACAAATCTTATTTGCTGTAAATTGTAATAGAAGATATTTAATCAGTAAGTAAACTCAAAACGAAACTTAGTTTAAGTACTTTTTACTTGTATTATACAAAATTTTAACAAAGTTACTGTTATATAACCTAACCAAGCCTACTATAACTTTCGAGGTACATGTTACATAGATATATATATAACTAATTTTGGGAAATGAGAATGAAAACTATATCTTGCTATGTTCAGACTATCACATTTTTTGAGTATTTAGATGATTTAATACGTGTTTACTGCAACCTACATGGAGAATCAGAAAACATCAATGGCCTTATTTACTAATTTTCTTAAATTTCTACAAAGACGTCTTTTAACGTAAATTAGTAGAACTAACGCCCTTTTTTGAATGAGAAATCTATATTTTCCTGTCTAGCGTTTAAAAGTTTTCAGTAATGACAATAATGTAGAATACAATTAATCATTCTTGTACGTATCCACATATGTGTGTGTGTGTGAATAATACCAAGCATCCTGCATGTCATAATTCGTGAACTAAGGAAGGAAGTGTAAAGAATTTAATAATTCAAATACAATTTCACCCTTTCGGCGACCCCGCTGTTTGTCAGAATAATAATAAAAAAAGAGTTGTGAAACTAATGCTGCAATATTGAGAAATATATATATATTATTTGTACTCCATAAAAACTAAACTTAATTATTTCAATGCCAGATGGGGAGCGGGTTGGCCCTATTATAGAGTTATCTGGATTTCGAATCCGTGCGATACCGCTAAATATTCCCCATAATTTAATTAATCTGTTGATGTGTTGTAAGAGTGATATTAATTTCCTTAACATGGTAGGGTACTGTTGACTGGCTGTCTTCTTTCTGGTCAGTAGTTCAAAAATTAGGAAGAACGGTAAACCTATGCCATAATTACAAATAACAACAAGATCACTGTTATCACGTATCAATTTTGGATGACGTAACTTGCCTCGCCGTTCTCAATTTTGTATTTTTATCTGATTTACTTACTTACTTAGTAAGTTTCCAAAAATTATTATGATTAGCATGCGTTGTTTTGAATTTCGCGCAAAGCTACACGAGGGCTATCTACGCTAGCCGTCTCTAATTTAGCAGTGTAAGACTAGAGGGAAGGCA